CTGCAGTCTCAGCAGATGCCAGCCTGCAGCTCCTTGGACTGGGACTTTCTCCCAGACTAGGCTGGAGTCTTACTATTCCCAGCACAAGAACCTAGAGTTTTGGTGAGCAGGCTGGCAACTGGCTTTTTAGTCAGGAGGGCAGAGGCTTGGAGAATCCAGCTTCCCATGAAATCCAGCTCAAAATGCTGGTCCAAATACTGTAGACTTTAAACTTCTTTTTCAAATATTTGGTTCCTGGAAGGCGTCTGAATATTTATGACTTATATAACATACACGATTCTGGGGGGACTCAATAGGGTAGATGTGCAAAGACGTTCCCACTAGTGGGACAATCTGGAATAGAGTACATAGTTACACAATAAGGTGGCATGCATTCAGTGAATGCCTGGGATTCTCTATGCCAGAGTTGTGGAGGGTAGATCACTGAAAGTGCTTTAACAGGAGGTACATAACTTTTTCTTGAAATATTGAGGCATTCAGGACTGTGACAAACTCGCACAAAAGAGGAGATGAGGCATGAGGCGGATCAGCCGACATTGTACAGAATGATAAGTTAGGCTTGAGGAACTGAATAGCATTCTCCTGCCCCTACTTCTAATGCTGTTATGCTCTTATATGAACAGACAAAACTGATGAGCCAGCAAGGACCCACAGACCCTGAAGCTTGCCAATATCAAGGTAAGCATCATGACTAAGCACTATTCTCACTCTTTCTTCATCTATGTAATATCCTATTCAAAGCAAAACAAAAAATGCAGAGACAAAATCCAGGGACCATAAGGGGAAAAAAAAACTCTCCAAAATAGCCCTTCAATTGCCTCAGCCAATTGAAACCAGTCTAGGTAATCACATGGGCCTATCATTACCCACAAACACACTTACCTTCAATGTAACGCAATCTCTGTCCCAGTTGATTAATAATTTAAATGCTTTTTTCTGTGCTCCTTTACACCCAAGCACAGGAAACCCAAGAAATAGTCTCTGACATGCTGAAACAGCTGTAACAAGAAATGGGAGCAATATCATTTTTACCTAAATCTACGAAATATAAAGTTACAAGTCAGCAGTAATAACAAAAGCAGGAAACAGATAAGCATACATTGGAGTCTACATTGTCCTCAGGAACTTACAGATTGCCATATAGCAATGCTGGTGGTTTTGAATGAAACATATGCACAACAGCCTCTCACCAATTTTCACCACTACGCAAATTTTAATGACTGAACGGAAGGTTTTTGTTCGCATTATTCTGACCAAAACCAACCTCTGACCACAATTTATATGTTTTGCATTTTGGAAGCAAACTATAAATTAGTCGCCAGCTGAAATTTAATTACATTTTCAGTGAAACAAAAATCCTTTATATCTCAAAAGAATCCATTTAAAGGATAGATTCCTGAATTGGTGCTTCTTATGTAGAGTATAACTCAGAAATTCAGAGGTGTGCTGTACATAGAGCAAAAATGGAAAATTCTGGAAGCATTCAGTGAGTCTGCCAGTATCTGAGAAGACAGCAAGTGTTAGCATTGTAGGTCAATGACCTTTCCTCACAACTGCTAGTCATCAACCTCAAATGTTATGCTCTCCAAAATATTGCCTTGACTTGCTGAATGTTTCCAGCATTTCTGTTGTTTTTTTTATTTCAGATTTCCAGTACAAGCAGTATTTTGATTTTGTGCATAATTTTTCCAGCTATTAGTCATACAATCCCTAATTATGCAACTCAAGTCCCAAATTCTTCTGTGTTCCCAGTGGTGAGACAAATGTTGCAACTGCAAAATTTAGAAATGAGCGCTTTAGAGTCAAACATAGTAAGGGAAGAACTCACTGAAGTTTGAATCCACATTATATAACCACCTTTGATCTTAGCTTCATATGCAGGCAACACCAGTGAAATCTCGATGATCTAGAGTAAACATTCCTGTCACTTGTGACAATCGTAAATTTTCCAAAAACAATCTGAATTTCTTTTTCATTCTGATGTTTTTCCTGGACTGCATTTTCACCATACTGCTAAGACACTCCAATAAAAATAAACTGAGATTTGGAAACCTCAACCTCATCATTGGTTGCATGTTTCATTATTTTTCAGTTACCACAGTCAATATTGAAAGAAGTGCAGATAATACTTATAGCACTCGTAGAATTACTGTTCTTTTGGATTTTGAATTTAATAATACAAGCTTGCTTCAATATGAAGTTCATGTGTTTTCCAAACGTTTTGCACATTTAGCATTAACACTAGTCTGGGAATTGTGAAAATTGCAATTCAGTCCTGATATTACTGCTTTCAGAATTCTGAATTGATTTATTTAACACCTGATAATGTTAACTAGATATAGACACCACTATTATGGATGACTTTGTTTCAACTGCATTCAAGAAAACTCTTCACAGTTTGGACTCTATCTATAACCATTGAAACCTCTTTGAAATTCCTCTTGCTCCACCAAAGTAACTTTAACGGAAAAGTGTATTTGTGTAAATATGTTTTCAGCTAAACTTTGGGCGAAGCTGCAGTATTGGAACATGAAGGAAACTTCCAGGAAACTTCTCCAAAGAAACTTCCAGCCAAATTCTTGACAGATGAGAGGCAGCTGAATTGAAAAATGGGATCAGATATCAGCATGCCTGGCATGGGCTTTCTGGCAGGTTGGGATGGGTTGCGTCTGGAACTGGCCGGGATTGTGGATGCTGTTCTGTCAAATGACATGTCCAAAAGTAGAGCAGTCATACAATAAATGGATGGTCTAATATGTATTGTGTCACCATCAGTAGCAAGCTGTTTCTCAAGTAACTGTCCTGCAGCAATCAAAATGAGAACCAAAATGCTATGGCAATTGAAATTAATGCGAACAAATCGTGTAGGCCTCCACTTTAGAGAGAAACACAAACGATGCATTATTGTAAAAAGCATATTTCTAAAATTCAAACAAAAAAAACGTGGACAATTCTGAGAGAAGACCTTCCTATCTAGGGAAGTTCATGAAGCCAAGTTGATCTTCTGAAGGACCTTTCCATTCACTAGGTTAGCCTGAGGTGACTAATGCCTGCATGTTTGCTATGTGCCTAGAAAACTAAATCTGATGAAAATATCACACTATTGAGCTAATAAAGAAAATACTTGTATCAAAAGGACTAGCACAACACTGCAGGCCTTTTGGTGCAGTGGTAATGTCAATCTCTAAGCCAGTAGCTCCAGTTTCAAGTCCCACTCCAAGATTTGATGACCAAGGAAGGTGTATTCAGAACAAGGCTAAACAGGTTGTGCATTCAACTTGTAAATCCTTCTGATATATTCCAATTGCGGGAGGTAATTGCAGGAGAGATTTCTAGTCAGCCATGTGATATAAAGAAATTGGAGCCCCCTACCATAACAATCCATACAACTTGCATACAAATGTGTACATTGCCATAACAAGTCAGGTTCGTCATGGCGCCAGTTAGCTTTGTTGATTAGTGCGGGACAGATCAATGCCTAAACATGATTCCTTTCCAGGTGGGGTGGATTTGGGCCCTGCTTCCTTTGCCCTACTGCTCTGCATTTCGATGAGATCATAGCTGATCTAATACTCTTCAACTCTGTTTTCCTGCATTTTCCATAACCCTTGATTCCCTTACTAACTATCGGTCTATCTCAGCCTTGAATATACAACCTTAAAAGCTCTCTGCATTAAAGAATTCCACAGATTCACCACCCTTAGATGGAAGAAATTCCTTCTCATCCCTGTCTTAAATAGTCAACTCCTAACTTTGAAATTACACCCTCTGGTCCTAGACTCTCCCACAAGGGGAGACAACTCTATCAAGCCCCCTAAGATGTAAGTTTCAATTAGGTCTGCTCTCATTCTTCTAAATTCCAATGAGTATAGTCCAACCTAATTAATCTCTTCTCATTAAGAAATCACTCCATACCCAGGATCAATCTAGACCCTTCTCTGGACTGCCTCCAATGCCAATATATCTTTCCCTAGATTAGGGGATCAGAACTGTTCACAGCATTCTGGCTGTGGTGTGACCAATTTCTTGGATAGTTTTAGCAAGATTTCCGCATTTTTATATTCTATTCCTTTCAAAATAAAGGGAAATCTTCCATTTGGCTTCTCTTTTACCCACTGAATTTGGATGGTAGCTTTTTTTTGTGATTTATGCAATAAAACACCCCAATTCCCTCTGTACTACAGCTGTCTGCAGTCTTTCTCCATTTAACTAATATTCAACTCTTCTATTCTTCTTGCCAAAGTGCATAACATCACATTTTCCCACATAATATTCCTTCTACCAATATTTTGCGCATTCACTTAACCTGCCCATATGGCTCTGTAGACTGTTCTCCCCTCTGCTGCAACTCTCTGTTTTGTGCATTTGGTTTTTGGCCTTAAATTGCTTCCTGTTGGTATTGCTTCCAAGTTGCCAGGTCACATAGACCAATGTTTTCTAATATCTAAGAAAGTTACAATTTATCCCTTTACAATTGATGCAAATGCTCAAAAGTCCTTTTCAGACAGGTTTAAGAACAAATACAGATTCCACAAAAGTTTTAAAGGCATTACAAATTTTCCTTACTGTGCTCCTTCCGGTCAAAAGTTGCCACAGGAAAGAGAATTGAATACAGAATGTAAAATCTTAGCTTCCAGACAATCCACTTTTGTGAGGTGTACTGAACTCTGAAACATAATTGGACTGAAAGTACTTGCTTTTAAATAGAATATTTTTATAAACTTGAACAGTTTCACAGAATTCATTCAGAATTAAATGTGTCATCCAGTGATACCCCCTAAATCACTTGTAACTTAATTTCTACCTTCTCCAGATATATCTGACATAACAGGAAATTTTACTAGATTTATTCCAATGAAGATTTCTTTCCTCATCTCAAAACATCTGTTCTGGTACAGACTCTGTTATAAATTCAATGATGTTCCTTTATATGAAATTATGAAACCTTTAGCAAAAGGTTCTTTTAAGTCTTGAAAACCTTATTAGTAGTTGGTACTCACCAAACCTCTTGTAACCCATAGAATGCACTTCCTCTTCTTCACTGTAGTCGTCTGTTAGAACAAATAGTTTAATTAGTGCAACAAATTGGAGCACGGAATTAACAAATATTAACAGAAGGAAGCAAATACTTGACTCCTATATTCTGCATCGAATTATTAACTATAACTATTGTCAACTGGTTCAAGTTGTGTACATCTTTATTGGGAAAAGTCATAAAACATCCACATTCCCTCACATCTGAATTTAATAGATGTTGACTTTTCTGTCACAATGTATTTTACATAAAAAACACCAGTCTTCTTCACCTATTGTCCTGGCTTATTTTGAAATAGTGTTTCCAGATTTGCTTTTTCTACACAGTTTATAGTGTCATAAATGCTTTTTACGAGATCATATTTCAATTGCTCCTTTCAAGGTTGAAAAGCTTAAGTTCCTTTTGTCCTTTCTCATAACTCAGTCTTTTATACCAGGATGGCCTTATGGGGTTGCTGTCTGAAATACCTCCATATTTTTACCTTCTGCCTTGTGCCTTAGTGACAAGACCTTCACACAGTATGTGTTTCTTGTCTTCTGTTTCAATAACAACTTGAATTTATAAGCCATATGTAATATAGCACCAGATGCCACTACAGCCTTGAATGAAACAAGGAGAAAAGAACTGAATTCAAAAGGTTAGGTGAGGCTGAACGTCCTCGACATCAAGACTGCATCAAAAAGCCGGACCAAAACTGCAGTCAATGGGAATCAGGGAGAGAGCTCACCACTGCTTGGAATAATTTAGACAGGAAAACAGAAAGGAAGATAACTGTTGTTGGATATAATCATCTCAGCCCCTTGGACATTACTGTAGAAGCTCCTCAGGGTACTGCCCTGGACCCAACCATTTTCAGCCACTTCATCACTAACCATATCTCCATTATAAGGTTAGGTGTTGGAAGGTTCACTGATATTGCAGAATTCAGTACCATTTGCAACTCCTCAAATACTGAAACCTTGTCCACATGCACTTGAACAATGTTCATGCTTGGTTGGTAAGACCCAAATAGCATACATCTGCCAGTCAACGACTGTACCTACTAAGAGAAATCCAAACCACCATCTCTTGTCGTTCAACAGTATCACCATCACTGAATTCCTATTCATTAACATCCTGACGTTGATCACTGACCAGAAAATTAACTGGATCACCCATATGAATAATGCATCGATACAGTGGGTCAGATGTTCGGAATCCTTCAATGTATAACTTACCTTCTGACCATTCGACCCCTGACCAGCAGGACTGTGATGGAATACTCTCCACTTTCCTGTATGAATGCAGCTCTAAAAACACTCAAAAAGCTCAACAGCAACCTGACAAAGCAACTTACATGATCAACAATCCATCCACCATCCTAAAAATTACCTCTACAAGTAGTGTGTTGCAGCAGCAGTGTGCCAAATACAAAATGCACTGCAGGAACTCACCAAGGGTCCTTTTGACAGCGCCAGCTAAAAGCATAACCTCTATCACTTAAAAAAAATGAGTGCAGCGGCCTTACAGAAAACTAGAGCCTCCAAATTCCCCTGAATGCCATATGCTATCCAGACTTAGAAATCCTGTACATTTACTGTTCCTTATATAAATCCTGTATATCACTGTCACTGGATCAAAATCCTGGAACTGATTTCCTAATAGCACTGTAGGTGTACCTATACCAGACAGACTGGTAGGTTAACTCACCATCACCCTGATTGATTGATTTTATGGTCACCTGTACCGAAATACACTGAAAAGCTTTGTTTACGAGCGGCACAGGCAGATCACAGCAAGCAAAGGATGTACAGATCAAAAAGACTTAGAGGCGTACAGGTTACATTGCAGGTTACATTATTTGAGGCTAGAGTCCATTCAACAGTCTGATAACGGCTGGAAAGAAACTGTTCCTGAACCTGCTCATGCGAGTATTCAAGCTTCTGAATGTTCTACCTGACCAAAGAGGTTGTAGGAGGTCATTACCAGGGTGTGATGGATCTTTGATGATGTTGGCCACCTTTCTGCAGCAGCGAGCCGTGTAAATAGAGCCCTTGGATGGAAGATAACAAGATGTAGAGCTGCATGAACACAGCAGGCCAAGCAGCATCAGAGGAGCAGAAGGCTGACGTTTTGGGCCTAGACCCTTCTTCATTTTCTGAAGAAGGGTC